TCAGAAGTCTAACAGAATTTAAACAGAAGAAACAGCAAGTGGTCAGGACAGGTACTATGTCTTGTTTACTTATTTTTATCTTCAGTGCCTAACACACTGTCCGGCACCTATAATACAGTTAACAAATGTGTACTGAATATGAGTGAGTGAACAAATAAATGTTAGGAGAAAAGGGAAGGCACAAAATGCTGGAGACTATTAGCAAGTGGGAATCTTCCCAAAATACTTGCTTTTTCCCCCTTTGATGAAGGGACCCAGACTGAGGTTTAACAAAGAGACCACTCCTTAGACATATCCTTAAGGGGTAAAATGATGTCAGCATTCTGGTGATAACAAATGGCATCAGTATTTGAGATAATTACTGGGGTAAAACAAGCAACAGGGACCCCACAACCACCTAGCATTGGTGGCAAATGTCTTTGCCGCCAGATTTTACTCTACACCCATTGACTTTGATTTGACATAATGATGATACCTCATTTGGTGCATGCTGAGAAAACCATAACCCTCTCCATCCCAAGAAAGCCAGCATGGCAGCCCATGGGCTCCTGTCTGCAGTTGCCATTAAGGACAACTGTAATTGGTGTCTAATGCAGAAAGGGCAGCTACCTCAAATCTGTTTTAGATATAAATAAGCATTATCAGTAGGATCCTGGCAAGAAAAACAGCATACTCGAATGAAGCGTTCAAGAAAATTTAATAAAGGAACCATTTCAAAAGGTACAGGCAGAGTTTAGGGAAAACAGCAAGAGGTGGTGGGGTACCTCTAGGTTAGCAACATCAGGAAGCCATTATCATCTCCAAGTCTAAAGTGGGTAGGGAAGGGTTATCAGAATCCAGAAAGATCTGTAACTATAGATGGCTGGCAGAGAAGGCCATTATTGAATACGAGTTATTAACTACTCACAGAACAGCTTTGGCAACAGGAACTAGCTCTTAGGGAGATCCTTTCTGATGTCTCTCCCACTGGGCAAAGCTAACCTGAAACCTAAAAGGAAGGGCTCAGTTGATGTAGCCCATAGAATTCATTTCCCAGAGCCACAGAGCAGAGTGGAGAAAAGATTTGGAAGGGAAAATGGAACATACACAGCACAGAAAGATATTCTAAATGATTGTTAAACAGCAAAACACAGGTATATAGAAAGAAAGTTTTGTCAGTTCCATCTAAATCTTCTAGATATTGTGGGACCACCCACAAGTAAGTCATAAACATTGGTACTTACTTGGGTTCCTACTGCCCTATATCAAGTTGGAAAAGGAAAAAAAAAAAAAAAAAAAAAGCAGCAGCAGCAGCAGCTATAAGTAATTCCAGGTAACTCTGACCTTTCTGCATCTCTAAGAGTAAACAGACAAGTCATTTATCTGCAATGCAGCAGATCTAAGACAAGGCCCTTCTCTTTGCTCAAAGGGAACATATTCCAAACCTCCATTATCGTACTTATCATGATGTATTATAACCTCTTGTTTATTTATTACTCATTGACTCTGAGCCCTTGAGGGCAGGGATTATCTTATTTATCTTTGCATCCTTAGAACCTAACACGGTACTGGGCACGAAGCTGGCCTTCAATCAATAGGCACTGAATAAATTAATGAACTCAGTGTCCCATTAATGGGCAACCTAATGCCATAGTGGCTAAAATCTGAAATGACCCTTAGCAATTAAACACTAATAAGTTGTATTCAGGCCATGGTTTAACACACTGGGCTAAAACATAGCCCGTCTCATACCAGACCACCACCATTCTCTGTAGAGATTTTCTCATGCACTCAGACAACGTATAAAACCTGTTATATAGTCACAGAACCAGTCATAAAATGAGCCAGAGAAAGACTATGTTCCATTTCAGAAAGGAATCAAATACACATTATGTCTCAAAATTCTCATTCTTTTTCCAGGGATTTACCAGATCCACTTGACAAACCAACACACATTACTTCTCAAAATTCTCATTCTTTTTCCAAGGATTTATCAGATCCACTTAGGGAACTAATAATTTGAACATGTATATAGAGGAAGTCGTGTTTCATACTGATAAAGATGGCATAGGGACAGACATACACATATACACACACACACACACACACACACACACACACACGGCATGTTTTAATTATCACTTCAACACACATCACTCTCAGTAAAATTATGAAGTAGTTGTATAACAGGTTCATGTAACACCATCATTTTAAAATGGCTATACTATATGATGTTGGGGTGGTCATTAACAGAATCTGGAATGTACTCACATTATAATTATGAACCACTTTCACATAACCCTGTATTTATGAAGTGCTTAATCATCTTTTTGTTCTAACAGTCAATTCTTACCTGTAGATTCTACACAGAAAAAGGAAAACATTAATGACAAGTTGAAAACTCTCTTCAAGTACCATGATTTTAGGTTACCAATCTCCTGCTGTCAGTAAAATGAATAAAAGTCAAATTTAATACAGCAGACCCCACCAGAAAGGTATATTTGCTATGCAACATGTGTCTTCCAAAAGTAAGTATGAAAAAGTTTTGTATCTCCTGCATCACTGTTCTCCTTCACTGCTGTTTGTAATGGACAGTTGATGTTGTTAAATGCAATGTAATCTTACATATCTAATTTTTAAAAGTCAGTAAAATAGGTAACTTTCTACTTAGGAAGCGGGAATTCTGAGTTCATCTTGATAATACATTGAATTACTTTAAAAGAAATGCCAGTAATACAAAAACATAATGTTGGAAATAGATCAAATGCCTTTTTCTAAAACAAGTAAATCCTCCAAGCAAGCTTTCTCCAAAACCACCAAAGACTTTTTAAATTGTAAACACAATTTTATCTTTTTGAGAGCCATCATATTCCTCCAACTGTCAAGTCAATGTAGCAATAAAATTACTTTACCTTTATAGGATAATCATGTGATGTCTGTATCATGTTAAAACTACAGGCTACAACAACGCATAATTTATAAAATTGTACTGCATGTCAGTTCCTCCGCAGGATTTTTTTTTAAATTGCAGATCTACCATATAGCTTTGTGTTTAATACTATTAGCTTCAGCAACCTCAGAGCAGTATTATGTTTCACCCATCCTAATCAGTGTTTGGCCCATAGAAAAAACATTATGTTGTTTTACAAATTAATCAAACTTCCACAGTAGGAAGAGGGGAAAATGATATATAATTCTGATAACGCACAACGTGTGGCAATGATAGGATAATATTCAATATTTTAGAAATACCTTGATTTTTTTCTGATTGCACATTTTCCTCTCCTTTCACTAAAATATAAACAAAGTTTAACAAAGTTCCAATGACACCAAGTTAAAATATATTTTTAATGTAACATTTCTATGAAAGGTAACTTCTTTTGTTGCAAATAAATTTGAATATGTTTAACTATTAATATGCCCCGACAACTGAAAGGACTGTGTTTTTATAAAGACAGTGTTCCAAAATTGTGTTCCTCTTTCCCAAACTTAATTCCTAAAACTCACTGTGGACCTAAACAGAAAGTGTCTTGGGAAACAATAAAGATGCTTCATAATAATAGATAAAATGACCCAGCACTGTGGCTCATGCCTGTAATCCCAGCACTTCGGGTGGCTGAGGCAGGCAGATCACCTGAGGTCAGGAGTTCAAGACCAGCCTGGCCAACATGGAGAAATCCTGTCTCTACTAAAAATACAAAACTTAAGCAGGCATGGTGTCAGGTGCCTGTAATCCCAGCTACTAGAGAGGCTGCAGCAGGAGAATCAATCACTTGAACCCAGGAGGCAGAGTTGCAGTGAGCTGAGATTGTGCCACTGCACTCCAGCCTGGGTGACAAAGGAGACTATAAAAAAAATAAATAAATAACAAAATGGAATTTTTCCTTACAACAACAAAACCAGGTAACAGAATTTATAAGAATTCCACAAGACTGCTGGTGCCTAAATGGTCCAGTTGGAAACTGGAACTACTGGAGTAAAACCAAGGGAATCGCCTATCACTGAGAAACCATTATGCAGATCTCCATCTAAGAGGCTAAAGTCACAGATCTCCCACCCTGAGAACTTGCCAATACTACTACTATTCTGATTACTTCAACATGAGTAGGACTACCCAAACTTCCAGCAGTTCTTGCTTTGTTTTTGATTTTTCCATCACATGTAAATAGGTCACAGCATAACTGCCTTATACAGTATATAAAAGGTTAAAACCACTCCTTCCAACGCCCACCCTTTATCCAAATGATTCCAATTCTTTCTCTTCCAAAGAAAGGAATAACTGGCAACCAGAAGCCTCAGAACTGAACTCTTCCAGTCAGGAAGACAACGTGAAATCTGCTGCAGCCAAAGGATGTCTAGTGCTCCTTGTGGGGCTGTCACAAGAGATGGAAAGCTACACCATGGCCAAAGTCTGTGCAGAGAAAAAAACAGTAGGTTCTGGGTTACCGCACCCTCCCCCACCACCAGAGCTTCTTTAGACTTGCCGTGCTCACCCCTATTTGCAACCTGACAATTTACAACCTGGCAATGCCTTCTAATTAGGACCGTTCAAGCCTTTTACAGCCGAAAAATTAAACTGCTTCTCACGATAAATCAGGCACTGGCGCCTGCTACTGAGGATCCCCTGTGCATCAAACCTCCAGTTTCGTACTGTGATGGGCCAGTGTCCAGGCTTCTCTACAGTAGAGAGGGGAAGAGCCCACCCTGCTCTCCTAAGAGTGGAACTGGAAACAGAGGACAGGAGCAAGCCATGGAGCGCAGAGGCGTGAACAGCATCCAAGCAGGACTGGGCTCAGCGCACCGGCGGGCGACAGACAGCGGCGGGCACGCGGGAGCTGGGGTGCAGGCTGCAAAGCGGGGTCCCTCGGCTGCAGAAGCCGCCCTCCGTGTACCGCCCTGCAGCGGCGCACGCGTCAGGCAACACACCCCCGCCGCCAGTCGCGGCTCTGCGCAAATGCCCTCCCGGGACAGCCGTCCGTGCCCAGGCGCACACGCCCCTCGGGCCGGCGGCGCGTACGTACCCAGCAACACGCAGAGCACATCGAGGGCCACGTACGGCAGCCGCGTCTTGTCAAACATGGTCTCTGCCCTGGCTGCCCGGCGCGGGCGGAGGACTGCGCTGCGGGACGGCGGCCGAGGCCCTCGATTCTTGAGCCCGGGCCCGGGGCTGGCGACGGCCCCGAGCTACAGCTCCTCCCAGCCGGAGGAGGAGAGCAGCCGAGGGCGGGCTGAGACCGGGCGACGCTCCCACCGCCAGCAATGGCGCCCGGGGCCCTCCCCTCACAGCCCCCGCAAACACTCGGTTAGTGCCGAGGCGCTCGTGTGCCAGCCGCGGCAGCTCTGTCGCCTCAGGACCTCCTCGGCCGGCCCCGGCCTGCCCGGGCTGCTCCCAGTCCGGATCCCGGCGCCCTCTCCCACAGGCGGGGCGTCGGGACTCGCGCTTTAAGGATGGACACCGGTAGGGAGGAGGAACGCGGGGTCTGGCCCCTCCCGCCGGGCAGCGCAGGACCGGCCCGCGCGCGGCCTCGCGGTCGTGGGGAGCGCAGCAGGGGCGGGGCCGTGGAAACCCCAGGCCGCGCGAGCAGCCAATCAGCGCCGCCGGCCTCGCCCCTCCCGACCTGCGGCAGCCGCCCACAAGTGCGGCTCACGGCGGACCGGGCAGGGCCTGGGGGCGGCTCCCGTTCCGATCCGTGGGGCTTCGCTCTGGACCGCAGTTCCTCGGGTGGTCTCCGATTTCGGCCTCTGTACCCCCATTAAGCATTGCTGCTTTCAGAGAGCTAGGCCCCCTGCTCACGATCTTAGAGCGCCGGCTGCCTGCCAGTCCCCACCCCTTCCATGGGAATCAAGTAATAAAAAGAGGTCAGGTTGTTACCACTGAGTTTAAGCGGGGGGAAAAGAGGTCAGAGTAGGCTGGAATAGAGACGCTCTCCTTTAGTTCTGTACCTCTGAGCCCCTTCTCAACTAGGCCTCAACGTTGACCACCCTGTGTCCTGGCTGTGCCCAGGTATTGGCAAGAATCGTGCTAAGTCATACATCCTGGATATCTGATCACCCTTGAACTCTTGATATTTAATATAGGATTCGATTCCCTATATTCCACCTTTGCTGCAGAAGCCCTTGACCTGCCTTTAGCCAGAATCCCCCTACCCTTGATGTCTCCTCTTAGTAATTTTCCATCCACCGTCACCTCCCTCACAGACACGGTCCTTGTTCCTTGCCTATAAATCCCTTGCTGTCTTTGCTATATTCTGAGTTGAGCTCAATTTCTCTCTCCTGTTTCAATCGTGGTGACCCTTATTGCAGTGATCTTGAATAAATTATTCATTGTGTTTAACAAGTGTCAGAATAATTTTCTTTAACCAGCACTCCCCCTGCCCCATTCCCAGGAGGACCCTAGCCCAGATTTAGTAATCTCAGTTTCCTAATCTATAAAATGGGGATGTTGATAATCCCTGCCCAGTGTTCCAGTCTGGAAGAAGTGAAGCCCAGAAAAGATTAGATGAAAGTGACTTTAGCTAGAGTTAAACCCTCTACAGATGTTAATGATTGGTATATTTTCTCCTTATTCAGACAAAGATGTGAAACACAAATCACAAAATGTACCTACCACTTCTTAGACATTTCTTGCGAAGCACTCACTAAACCAATGGAAAGATAACATTAAACACAGGGAGTCTGAAGATACAGCCCCAAGTAAGCTCTCACAAACAAAAAATACATTTGAAGAAAGATGTTTTTCTTTAAAACTAATGTGAATGTTCTATTTTGCCTCTTGTTTAAATAGCTGTAAAAGCTTTAAGCAATTTACACCTGAGAAAGATGTGTCACTGTTTATCATGTGGCTTTATTTACTTCCAGAGTTACAAGGGCCTCAGATTGCAAGTCACAATAAACTGAGAGTACTTATGTCTGAGTATTAGGTATTTATTCAAAAAACATTTGTTGAGCACCTATGGTGTTACAGTCTAGGCTTAGTATCTTAAATAGCTTTTGAAATAACATTTACTTTTTAAAATTTTTTTATTTTTACTTTTTGTGGGTACATAATAGGTGTATATATTTATGGGCTACATGAGATGTTTTGATACAGGTATGCAACGTGTCATAATTACATCATAGAAAATGAGGTATCCATCCTCTCAGGCATTTGTCCTTTGTATTACAAACAATCCAATTATACTTTTTAGTTATTTTAAAATGTACAATTTAATCATTGACTATAGTGACCTGTTGTACTATCAAATATTAGATCTTATTAATTCTTTGTATTTTAAAGCAATGAACATTTACTCTTAAAGTGTGTTTTCAAAAATAAGCATTCAAAAAAAACCTTACTGATTAGTAATTTTTTGTTTATTCATGAATTCATTAATCCAACATTTATTGAGCCCCTAATGGATACCTGGTACACAGCTGTGGAGAAGCTAAAACAAACAAGAGAATGTCTCTGCCCTCAAGGGTTAGCCTGAGGCCCAGTTAGAAAGCATGTGATTAAATGAACACTGTGATAGAAGTGTGTTGTAAGTATACAGGTGGTACACAGAGTAGGGATTTTACCTGGGAGCAATACAAATACAAAAATTCTAACAGGTGGTGCGCACCTGTAATCCCAGCTAGTTGGGAGACTGAGGCAGGAGAATGGCTTGAACCCAAGAGGTGGAGGTTGCAGTGATCGGAGAATCGCACCGTTGCATTCCAGCCTGGGCGACAGGGAGACTCCACCTCAAAAGGAAAAAAAAAAAAAAGCAATTAATAAGCCCTCATTTTTGGAAAGAATGACTAAAAAATATCATTTTGTTTTGGAGTGGGGATGTTTCATTCCTTTTGGGGGGAATTTTTTTTGTTTGTTTAGTTTGTTGTCATAAATGGATTCTGGTGTGATCATTGGAATTGAGAATGAGGTAAATAGCTTTGAAATGGTAGTGAAAATATTAATTTTTTTTTTAAAGACAGTTTCACCATCTTGGCCAAGCTGGTCTCGAACTCCTGACCTCATGATCCACCTGGCTTGGCCTCCCAAAGTGCTAGAATTACAGGTGTGAGCCACCACACCTGGCAATAACAATTTTTTAAAAAGGAAACACTAATTAAACAATAACATCGGATAGGCGCCGTGGCTCTTGCCTGTAATCACAGCACTTCGGGAGGCCGAGGCGGGCGGATCACGAGATCAGGAGATCGAGACCATCCTAGCTAACATGGTGAACTCCTGTCTTTACTAAAAATACAAAAATTAGCTGGGCATAGTGGTGGACGCCTGTAATCTCAGCTACTTCGGGGCTGAGGCAAGAGAATCACTTGAACCTGGGTGGTGGAGGTTGCAGTGAGCTGGGATTGCGCCACTGCACTCCAGCCTGGTGACAGAGCGGGACTCCATCTCAAAAAAAAAAAAAAAAAATGGAGAGAGATCCAAGATGGCTGATCACTAACAGCTCGGGACTGTAGCTCCCACTGAAAGCGCAAAGAATGAGAGGACGCCACACCTTCACATGAATTCTTGTTGCTCACGCACCAGGAGATTCCCAGCGGAGGAGCCCCACGGGTCGCCAGCGCGACTCTTGTGACCGGCGAGGCGGTTTTGCCAGCGCCTTGGAGCGACGGTTCTTGGTGCAGAGTCGGAAAAGCACCATTAATCTTAACGCCGCTGATTTGGTCGGTGCAGTGGGTTGCTCAGATTTCGGCGCTGAGAATCAGTAAGTTGGACGTCCACTCAGAAACCTAATTACAAAGACGGTGAATTCAAAGACCACAGATGGATAAATTTATAACGAAGGGAGGAAAACGGCCAAAAAAGGCTGAGAATGCCCAAGATCAGAACGCCTCTCCCTCAGCGGGGGATCACAGTTCCTCATCAGCAACGGAACAAGGCTTGATGGAGAACGAGTGTGTTCCAATTACAGAAGCAGGCTTCAAAATGTGGATAATGAGAAACTTCTGTGAATTAAAAGAACTTGTTTTAACCCAATCTAAAGCAACTAAGAACTTTGAAAAAAGATTTGACGAAATGTTAACAAGAATACACAATTTAGAGAGGAATATAAGTGAATTGATGGAGCTGAAAAACACAATAGGAGAACTTCGTGAAGTATGCACAAGTTTTAACAGCCGAATTGATCAAGCAGAAGAAAGGATATCAGAGGTCGAAGACCAACTCAATGAAATAAAACAAGAAGACAAGATTAGAGAAAATAGGATAAAAAGGAACGAGCAAAGTCTCCAAGAAATATGGGACTATGTGAAAAGACCTAATCTACGCTTGATCGGTGTACCTGAATGTGATGAAGAGAATGAATCCAAGCTGGAAAATACGCTTCAGGACATTATTCAGGAAAATTTTCCCAGCCTAGTAATGCAGGATAATATTCAACTCCAGGTAATACAGAGAACACCACAGAGATATTCCTCAAGAAGAGCAACTCCAAGGTACATAATCGTCAGATTCACCAGGGTTGAAATGAAGGAGAAAATACTAAGGGCAGCCAGAGAGAAAGGTCAGGTTACCCATAAAGGGAAGCCCATCAGACTCACAGCAGATCTCTCAGCAGAAACCCTACAAGCCAGAAGATAGTGGGGGCCAATATTCAACATCCTTAAAGAAAAGAACTTTCAACCCAGAATTTCACATCTAGCCAAACTAAGCTTCACATGTGAAGGAAAAATAGTTTTTTGTGAATAAGCAAGCACTCAGAGATTTCATCACCACCAGGCCTGCTTTACAAGAGCTTCTGAAAGAATCACTACACATATGAAAGGAACAAACAGTATCAGCCTTTCTAAAAAAATTATCAAAAAGAGCATCAATATAATGAAGAATTTACATCAACTAATGGACAAAATAGTCAGCTAATGGCAGTATTAAACTCACATATATTATTATTAATTCTAAATTTAAATTGACTAAATCCCCCAATCCAAAGACAGGCAATTTGAATAAAAAACTAAAACCCATCAGTATGCTGCATCCAGATCCATCTCACATTCGAGGATACACAAAGACTCCAAACAAGGGATGGAGAAAGATTTACCAACCAACCAGAGAGCTAAAATAAATAAATAAAAAGCAGAAGTTACAATTAAGCAACAAAGATCAAAAGAAGCAAAGAAGGACATTATATAATGATAAAAGGATCAATGCAACAACAAGAAGAGCTAAAGATCCTAAATATATACGCACCCAATACAGGAATACGCAGACATACAAGACTTATAAAGAGACTTAGACTCCCACATAATAATAGTGGGAGACTTCAACATTAATATTAGACAGATCAATGAGACAGAAAATTAACAACGATATTCAGGACTTGAACTCAGATCTGGAACAAGTAAATGTAATTAACATTTATAGAACTCTGCACTTTAAATATACAAAATATACACTCTTATCAGTACCACATCATATCAACTTAGAAGTTTAAAAGAAATCTTGGTTGGCTCCTTGTTTGCTATTCTCTTCCCTCATTTTCTTTCATGTCTCCATTATTAAGGACAATTATAGGCATACCCATATTTAGACTGCATTCTAGCCCGGGCAATAAAGCAATACCCCCATCCTCTCTCCTTCTTCCTCTTTCTCTTTCTTCCTCTTCTTTATTCTTTAAAAAAAAAAAAAAAAAAAGTAACACTATTAATACCCCCAGAGGAGGTAGGTAGCTATGAGTATGTTGTCCCTGGACTGAACATGAAGCCTCAGAGGCTAGAGGACTGACTCCATGTCTCTGGAGTTTGTGCAGCCCAGAAAAAAAAATGAAAGAAAGGAAAAGGAAAAGGGAAAGGAAAGGAAAGGAGGAAGGGAAAGGAAAGGAAGAAAGAGAGTGAGGGAGAAAGGGAGAGAGTGAGGAAGAAAGGGAGAAAGGGAAGAAGGGAGGGAGGGAGGGAGAAAGACGCCTCAGAGGCTTGCATAAATGCTTAACAAAGTTTGCCCTTGGGCCTATATTTTTCTCCATGTAATATAGGCATCAAACAAAAGCAAAGTAGGGTGAAGCTTCAGAAGACAGTCCTAGCTGGGGGAGGTGGCTCGTGCCTGTAGTACAAGCACTTTGGGAGGCCAAGGCAGGTGGATCATGAGGTCAGGAGTTCAAGACCAGCCTGGCCAAGATGGTGAAACCCCGTCTCTACTAAAAACACAAGAATTAGCCAGGCGTGGTGGTGGGCGCCTGTAATCCCAGCTACTTGGGAGGCTGAGGCAGAGAGTTGCTTGAACCCTGAAGGCAGAGGTTGCAGTGAGCTGAGATCGCACAACTGCACTCCAGCCTGGGTGATAGACCGAGACTCCATCTGAAAAAAAAAAAAAAGAACAGTCCTAAAGCTCTCTGAAGAAGAAAGAAGCTCATTTCCTCTCTTCTGTCATTATTAAACTTCTTGAAAAGGAGTCTGCAATCTACATGCCGAATTTTCACTTTCTCTTTCGATACCTCTGCATGCTGAATTCTGTCCCCACTCCTCTACTTGCACTGCTCTTAAACACAGTATCAGTAAATCTCCGTCTCTCCATTCTAACAGCATTTACTGTCTCAGCAACATATTTATTTCAAAAATTGTCTGCAAAGTAATAAGACTCAATTCCCTTAGGATATTTTTGTTTCCATGTGCTTATGTCCTTTCCCCCAAATGGACTGAAGCAATTACAGTTTCTATTATACTCAAATAGCACTGTAAAACTAAAATGACTAAAAATGTAAACATCTGGTTCCCCAGTACATATGCTCCAGAAAGAAAATTTCACAGTGTGGTGTATTTTAATCTTGTTTACACTTTTGTCAAAGTCATTTGCTTCATACCTTATTAAAGTTTTTATCATATAATATTTGTTACATAAATATATAACATATAAATAAGTTATGAAAAGGCCGGGCATGGTGGCTAACACTTGTAATCCCAGCACTTTGGGAGGCCAATGTGGATAGATCATTTGAGGTCAGGAGTTCGAGACCAGCCTGACCAACATGGTGAAATCCCACCTCTACTAAAAATACAAAAAAATTAGCCAGGCATGGTGGTACATACCTATAGTACCAGCTACTTGGGAGGCTGAGGCAGGAGAATCACTTGAACCTGGGAGACAGGAGTTGCAGTGAGCTGAAATCACACCACCTGTACTCCAGCCTGGGCGACAGAGGGAGACTCCATCTCAAAATTAAATAAATAAATAAAAATAAGTTATGAGGCATAATAAAATGGGCCACTATGAATCTATGATTCTATTCAACTAAACACCTGGATCATTGCCGTCTTTAAATGCACCTGAATTTTGTGTTTACCTTTTTTTAGCTTTGCTTTTTCCCTATCGTTTAACTACATGTGTATGTATCTCTAAAAATATGTAGTGTTTAGCTTGCTTGTTTTTTTAGCTTTTAAAAATATTACACCAAAGATTTAATCTTCTGCCCTTGACTTTTTTTTCGTTCAATTGTATTTCTTACATTCATTCATGTTGCTGCATTAGTAGGTCTGTCATATGAGTACATCACGTTATTCATTCTTCTGACAATAATTATCTGGGTTTTCATGTATGCAAATAATGCTGCTGCAGGCATTTGTGTACATGTCTCTTGTGTGGAATTACTAGCTGCGTTATGTAGTGTGGTAGTGTGTCCACATTCAACTTCATGAGATAATCTCAGATTGTATTACTAAATGGTTATACCGTTTCATCCACACCCCCACTAGTGGTGGATACAACTCCAGATTCTCATCAATGCAATATTCTGAGACTTAGCTTTTGCTAGTTTAGTGGGAATAATGTGTATCTCAATGTAGTCTTAATTTACATTCCCCTGGTCACTAATGAGGTTGGATGTCTTTCCTGAAATGTATTTACCAAAAATGTTTCCTCTTCTATTAACTGCCCGTTCACATCTTTTGCCATTTTTCTATTGTGTTATTTATCTTATTCTTAATTGTGGAAGTTCTTCATATATTCTTCATAATAATTCTTCGTGTGGTACATTTTTTCTCTGAGTATGTGGCTTGTCATTTCACTTCATTAGCAGCTGTGTGATAGAGTTCTTGTTCGTGTAATGTAAACAGATACCTACTGGCAGGTTTCTTTGTTTTTGCTTTCCTGACTACAGGAAAAGACTGACTTCCCTTCCCTTCCTTTCTACCTCCTTTGAACATGAACCTGATGTCTAGAGCTACAGCAGCCATCTTTTGATTATGAGGGAAAGACCAAGAAAAGCAACGTCACTGGTCTTTTTTTTTTTTTTTTTGCATTTTTTTTATGAGAAGGAATTTGGTTTAAGTCATTGGTCTTTACAATGTTGAGCTCTACTAAAAATAACCACCAGCCACTGGTTGCCTCCAGATTTCTTCTTATGTGAGGAAAAAAAATGTGTTTAAGCCTAAAATATTCACAACAAATACAAAGCTCAAGAAAACTTTGATTGGTATTTCTGAGAAATTTCATGTCATTGTTCTAAGAAAACCTTTTACTTAAACTAACTTAATTGAATTTCTGGTCCTTGAAACATCAAAGCCCGGAATAAAACAATTTGAGTCCATAGAAAAGGGTGCTGAGGAATAAATTTTGAAGACTGAGCAATGGTTTAAGCGTAGAGGAGGCAAAACAAATGGCTTTTCTGAAGTCTTTATGAGTAGGAAAGGCTGTGAAACGAAGAACTCACATTGGGAATTAGTGGAAGATAAGATTGGTTCTAGAAGGTAGGTTGTAACCATTTGTAACTAAACAGTACAACTGGGGTAAAGAAAAATCACTGAAAATAGGTAGAGAAATGCTAACAACAGTCATTTAAAATAAGTACTCTGGTAGTGAAAAGAAGTCATAGTCTCTGCAGAGGACTCTGAATAAAGATGAGTAAACTTTATCTTGCAAACCAAATTATCTAGATTCTGGTCCTTTTTCATATGTATCTCCATTGTATGTCCTATCTTTCCTAAAGGTGTTTATGGCTTCCGGTCCTTTTTCAGCTTTGCTACAGAGTATTAAGGGGAAAGTCTTCTGTTAACACTTGAGCCAATTCCCAAGTGTGAGGAGTTTAGTTACAATCTTTCGTGAAAAACCATAAAAAGGAGATGAGGGTGTGTCTAGGATCTGATTTGGGTCCTGTGGATGGGCAACCAAGCTCTGGAATGATACTCCCCTTCTGCCAATCTCTCCTTCAGGGTCAGGGTTGGAGGGCCTGGATTCTATGTTGTGTTTTAGAAAGACAGTGTTTTCTTTTTTCTTTTGTTTTTTTTTTTTTTTTTTTTTTTTTTTTAAGACAGTGTTTTCTTATTAAGTTTCTAGTAATGAGCAAATTTAAAAAAATACGTGCAGTTGCCTAGCAAATGTCTGACATATGCTGACACACAAGGTATGTTTTTTCAAAAACAAAGATTTCTGTTGATCCAAACCTGTTGTTTCTGCTTCCCTACCACCCACTCAACCCACTACCTACCGTGGTTCCCTAGAAACAGTGTTGGTTTGTCGTGACTTGTTCTTTTTTTGTTGTTGTTTTTGACAGGAAGGAGAATTTATTGGTGAGTATTAAGAGGGGGCCGCACAGTGGAAGCCCTCATGAGTGCAGGGCCCGCCATTTGTCCAGAGGGCCACGACTGGGGATGTACTTGGCCCCACAGCCATCTGGGATGAGGGGCTTCTCAGCCACCATGTCTTCAGATTCACCGGCACTGAACTTGGTGAAGCCCCACTTCTTGGAGATGTGGATCTTCTGGAGGCCAGGGAACCGGACCTTGGCCCTGTGCAGGCCCTCAATCACATGCTCCTTGTTCCGCAGCTTGGTGCCAATGGGCATGATAACTTGGCCAGTGCGAACCCCAGCCACAGTGCCCTGGGGCTTTCCAAAGGTACCTTGAATGCCTGTTTGGAGCCCGTCAGCCCCAGCACAAGACAACATCTTGTCTATGTGGATGACGTGAAAGGGGTGGAGCCTCACTTGGATACGAAAGACATCTTTTTTTTTTTTTAGATGGAATCTCACCCTGTCATGCAGGCTGGAGTGCAGTGACTTGATCTCAGCTCATTGCAACCTCTACCTCCTGGGTTCAAACCATTCTCCTGCCTCAGCCTCCCAAGTAGCTGAGACTTCCGGCACCCGCCTCCGCGCCCGGCTAATTTTTGTGTTTTTAGGAAAGACGGGGTTTCACCATATTGGTCTGGCTGGTCTGGAACTCCTGACCTTGTGATCTGTCTGCCTTGGCCTCCCAAAGTGCTGGGATTACAAACATGAACCATTGTACCCGGCCCACAAATATCTCTTCAACAATCTCCTTAAAAATATGTCACCAGAAATATGTAAATTAATGACCTATAAAATATCTATAATCTTAAAGCTATATCACATGTATTCTTTTTTTTTTTTAAATCTTGGACAGGCTGGGTACAGTGGCATATACCTGTAGCCCCAGCTACTCAGGAGGCTGAGGTGGGAGGATCACTTGAGCCCAGGAGTTCAAGTCCAGCCTAGACAAAGAGTGAGACCCTGTCTCTTAAAAAATAAAAATTGATTGGGTACAGTGGTTCATGCCTGTAATCTCAGCACTTTTGGAGGTCGAAGCAAGTGGCTTGCTTGAGTCCAGGTGTTCAAGACCAGCACTGACAACACTGCAAGACCCTTTTCCACAAAATTAAAAAAAAAAAATAGCTGGGCACAGTGGCACAAGGCCTGTAGTCCCAGCTACTCAGGGGACCGAGGTGGAAGGATCACTTGAGCCTAGGAGATAAGGCTGCAGTGAGACATGAAAGCGCCACTGCACTCCAGCCTGGGCGACAGAGTGAGACTCCGTCTCAGATGAAAATTAAACATTGAGATTCAAATCTTAGGTAGGATTGCTATGCCGTTACTGGCCTCCGGTCAGAATACACCTGCTCTACCTGTTTTAGAAATATAGTAAAATGTGCCTTTCCTTAATCTTGCGATTCCTCTTCTGCTCAGGACCCCATTTGTGCTCTTCTGACACTGCACTCGCTCTCTCCTAGCACTCATCCTTGGATTGATCTTCGTGGTTAATGGACCTTAAGTGAAGGGAGCGGGCCTTCCTAGTTCCTAGAGTATACTTGGCAAAATGAGGGCACGTGCAGTTAAAAAACAAAAAAGCTGGAATAAATGAATGAGAAAAAGAAAAGTAGAGCAAGAGTTCAGGAAAGAGGCAAGCTGTGCCCCCCATCCCCCAATTGACACACATCTCCTTTTTCTTGTTGTTATTAGCTTTTTCCCCCTCACACGTACTTAAGCTTATCTAGGGTTAGAAATGGGGAGTGGGGTGGCCAGGCATGGTGGCTCACGCTTGGCAAAATGAGGGCACGTGCAGTTAAAAAACAAAAAAGCTGGAATAAATGAATGAGAAAAAGAAAAGTAGAGCAAGAGTTCAGGAAAGAGGCAAGCTGTGCCCCCCATCCCCCAATTGACACACATCTCCTTTTTCTTGTTGTTAGTAGCTTTTTCCCCCTCACACATACTTAAGCTTATCTAGGGTTAGAAATGGGGAGTGGGGTGGCCAGGCATGGTGGCTCACGCTTGTAATCCCAGCATTTTGGGAGGCTGGGGCAGGCGGATCACCTGAGGTCAGGAGTTTGATATCAGCCTGCCCAACATGGCGAAACGCTGTCTCTACAAAAAAATACAAAAAATTAGGCGGGTGTTGTGGTGTGCACCTGTAATCCCAGCTACTCGGGAGGTTGAAGCAGGAAAATTGCTTGGACCCAGGAGGCAGAGGTTGCAGTGAGCCAAGAATGCGCCACTGCACTCCAGCCTGGGTGACAAGAGTGAAACTCCATCTCAAAAAAAAAAAAGGAAGAAGAAGTAGAGAATGGGGTTAATTCTCCTACATTATTTTTACAGATCATCAGCACCCCTTTATAAGTACTTTTTTGTGTCCTCAATAAAGTGAACTTTTCAAAGTGAGCCTTTCTCCTTCTAAGTAACTGTTTTAAGGAATAATCCTGATGGAACACCACAGGAATTTTCTAGGGCCTCTACACTTTTCTCCTTTATCAAGATCAGAGTCAGAAATACATTTCTGGGAGCCTCCTAACTCTCAGAACCACTTTCCCTGTCAGAGTTTCTCACACAACAAACTTCATTTAACTTTCCTTTGGACTCTTAAAACTCTGCCTCAAAAAGTCTGTGACAATGATGCTCAAATTCTGCATATCAGAATCATCTTGGGTATCAGTTAAGCACAATCACTCAGCCCCATTCCAGAGATTCTGATTCAGAAGCTAGGCTGGAATCCAAACATTGTTTGATAATTATGTTTAACAAATTCCCCCAGGAGATTCTGATACGCATCAGAATTTGAGAATCTCAGGTAGAGTCAGCCCACATTTTCACTCTCTTTGAAGAAAGTAATTACTTTCTTCGGAGTAATTACTACACATTAGGTACAGCACAACATAGTAATTAAACACCTGGGTTCAGGAATCCAGCTCCTGAATACTCCACTGAATACCCTTGGACAAATTGCTTAGAACTTTCTGTACCCCAGTTTTCTTATTTATTGATTGATTTTCTTTTTGAGATGGAGTCTCCCTCTGTCACTCAGGCTGGAGTGCAATGGCATGATCTCAGCTCACTGCAACCTCCACCTCCCAGGTTAAAGCGATTCTCCTGCCTCAGCCTCCCCATTAGCCGGGATTACAGGCGTGCCCCACTACACCCAGCTAATTTTTGTAATTCTAGTAGAGATAGAGTTTCACCATGTTGGCCAGGCTTATCTCAAACTCCTGGCTTTGAGTGATCCGCCTGTTATTTGTAAAATGAGAATGATAATAACAGCACCTACCTCATAGGTTTGTTGTGAAGATTAAATGAGCTAATATGTCATAATCACTCAGCACAATGTCAAGGCATATAGTAGGTGGTCAATAGATATTGGACATTATTATTTAAAGATTCCTGTCACTTCCTTATGAGAACCAGGCTCATGTGTGTGTCCTGTGAACTTTGAGCCTAAGGGTAGGGTGCAGAGACCCTGAAAATCCTTTGCAATTGCATATAAATTACGTGTTTCTGCATTTTGCTGTGAACTGGCTCTATAGGCCTTCTGTGAGTCTCAAACAGGGTCTCTGACACCTGTACTGAGTTCTACAGCTTTGCTCCCAAACATGTGCCCTGGGCTAGCAGTGTCTGCATTAACAGAGACTAATTCTAAGAGAAATTCAGACTCTCGGATTCCATTCCAAATCTACTAAATCTAAAACTGCATTTTATTTTATGTTTTTATAAGTAGAAAAAAACAAACTTTATTTCCATCAAATGGAAACGTATGAACCTTCAAGCAAGATAATCAAAATAATAATAAAATTAACAGGATATCATATACAGATCAGACTAGAGGTTTAGATACTTTAAAACACATACACAAAAATTAAGAGGACCAAAAACTGTCCCACTGAGGAAAAGCACTCTGACTCATCATACACACACAACTTCTGGGAAACTTGAGCTGACATTTCACAGGACAGTAAACTCAAGAGACAGGTTGTCATTGGGTTATAGAACTGATCTGAGCTGGAGAGGGATCACAGCGAAATGTCATGGTAACTCCACAATTTCTCTAGAGAGCTGTTCATCTAAAAAAAAAGATTATAGGGCCCTGTGTGCTGGCTCACGCCTGTAATCCCAGCACTTTGGGAGGCCAAGGCAGGGGGGATCACAAGGTCAGGAGATTGAGACCCTCAAACATGGTGAAACTCCGTCTCTAGTGAACAACACAAAAATTACTCGAGAGTGGTGGCACGCACATGTAGTCTCAGCTATTCAGGAGGCTGAGGCAGGAGAATCACTGGAACCCAGGAGGCGGAGGCTGCAGTGAGCTGAGATCGTGCCACTGCACTCCAGCCTGGAACACAGAGCGAGACTTCATCTCAAAAAAAAAAAAAAAATCCCCAAAAAACACAAAAAGCAAGAATATATAAAAATCAATAGTACAAATTCTTATAAAACTAGAAAAGCCTTCTAAGCCCTGATATCCTTGGAGCTTACATAAAGGCTGTTTTCATTTTTCTTCCCTTGACTCTTCTCTAAATTAAATACAAAATAGTTTATTTAGGACATTTCTGACTATATAGCCAAAGCTTTAAAATGAAGACAAGAATAATTTTATAAAATAAACACTTATCAACCCTAGGTGGAATCTTCAAGGTGGTCTGCTCCATTGAAAAGCTTTAAGCAGTAGGGCGAGGCGGCTCATGCCAGTAATCCCAGTACTTTGGGAGGCCAAGGTGGGTAGATTATCTGAGGTCAGGAGTTCGAGACCAGTCTGACAAAAATGGTGAAACCCCATGTCTATTAAAACACAAAAATTAGCCAGGTGTAGTGTGGCAGGTGCCTGTAATCTCAGCTGCTTGGGAGGCTGAGGCAGGAGAATTGCTTGAACCCGGGAGGCAGAGGTTGCAGTGAGCCAAGATCACACCACCGCATTCCAGCCTGGGCAATAAGAGTGAGACTCCATCTCAAAAAAAAAAAAAAGATTTAAACAGGGAGGCTTTTATTTAAAGAATGATACTGTGCTTCTGGGAATAACCTAATTATTACCAGAGGAAGGGATTTCATATCTATGCCACACAAAAAGCCTTCGCCCTTTAGAAGTGTTTTTACTGAAGCTCTCTCACAGGTACCACATACACACACTCACAAAATGATCAAATTGGGGAATTCCCTGAAACATACAGATAATGGCATTTATTCTGGCAAGAACTGTGCAAATTGTCACAAGAAAGATAAGGGATAGCAATACGAATGATTATTTTTCAACAGATGCAGGAAGCGGAATTTTTTTCTTAGCTGAAATACAGCTTCTCAACATCTGGGGCTTACACACCATTCATTTGGAAAATAGACTGCTTCAGTTACATGCAGAAATAAATGGTAACTTGTTATCAGACCACATTTCCATATTAAAAGAAGTCTCTGTTACCAGGTCCTCTTTTTAAAGATGCCAAATAGACCAAGGAGTTACTAAAAATGAAAGGAGATAGTGAGAAAACAAGTCATATTACGAACAGGACTTCACCTTATGAATTGCCTCTCCAGCAAAATCAACTGCAGAAAGGAAAGATTGTTAAATGAAAGGTAATAAATGGAATTCTCAGGTGGACACAAATACCTCCTGAAATCCTGCGGCAGAGAAGAGATGAGGAACGCCCTCTGCAGATACAGTGTCTGACTACCAGTGTGACTCCCTCAGTACCCATTTCCTGTGTCTGTCCCTAAGCACCAAAAGCAAAGATTACAGGCTGAAGCAAATACATTGTTTTATCTGTTAATGAGAACAGGGAGCTCAAACTAGGGAAAGATACAAAAAAAGGCCTCTTGAATTTCCTGATAAACCCCTACGGGTACGTGAAAACATGTTTAAAAAACAGGATTATTTCCATTTATACTGCAACGAGGCAAGTTGATTGAGATTATTACATAGGTAATTGATGAGGATTTGATTAGCCAATGCATGTAATGTGCCTAATATGGAGTAAACAAACAGTAACTACTGCCTATACCTTAACACGTTTGGAAATACGAGGGATTTATTATTTGAGCAAAGACCTCCAGCAGGCTTATATTCTTTGGACAAAAAGAGCTAATGTCAAATACTGAACTCAGTTTCCAGTGAACTAAATTTTATAAAAGCACTATTTATGGGTTTGTGCAGGCATCTTTCTAAAGTTATCCTGCCTCAACATCTTAAATAGCAGAAAAAAACCACAGCAGCACCTCCCTCCAAGAATCCTTCCTCATTCATGGCTATTCTTACCTTTCTCCTTCCCTACCAAAGAGAGGAGTACACCTTGAGTAAAAATGGAGCTCATCTGAGCTTGGCTGCCAGAGGGCAGCAGGGGAGTGGTCCCTGAGGAAGGACAAGACGGGAAGTGAATCTCCCCTGGTTACTTCCTCGACTGTTGCACGACAAGTAGATGGTGGACTAAGGTTGGATTTGGCATTCAGAATCGTGTTAATGTGTAATGGAATAGAGAGACAGTAATGCAAAAGTCAGGAGTTAACTTTTGTTTGATGTTCCATTATTGCTTGTTTACCTACCAGCAATTCGAGAAGGATTATTTTATCAAGACCTTGTTTAGAGTGGGAGTGGAGGGTGATTTGTTTTGATCTCAGGAAAGAAAAGTGAGCAGGGCCTGGATAGCTCCAAGGAGCTCAAAAGCCTATGTGTGAGCACCATGGCTAGGGATGGCTCAAAGGGTAAAGGCCATTTCAGGGGCACTACCCAGTGGACACTGAAAGGGTAGATAAGGAACATGAGCTAGCCTCCTTCACAGATTAGCCTGGACCCAAGTCCAGCCTACTTTGACAAACTTTTATTCTATTCATAAAGGATGTCTTAGGCAGGAAGACTAAGACTCTCCCTAGTAGCTTCCTTTGCTTAAACAAAGGAAAAAGAAGAAAACAAAGGAATGTCATAAAAAGGTGAATGTCATCACTTTGGTGAGCTCTACTATTTTTATTCTTTCTTTCTTTCTTTCTTTCTTTTTTTTTTTTTTTTAAGAAACAGGGTCTTGCTGTGTCATCCAGGCTGGGGCACGGAGGTGCAATCATAGTTCACTGGAACCTTGAACTCCTAGAATCAAGCAATCTTCCTGCCTTAGTCTCCTGAGTAACTGGGACCACAAGTGTACACCAGCGTGCCTGGCTAATTTTTTATTTTGCTGTAGAGATGGAGTCCTGTGATGTTGCCCAGGCTGGTCTTGAACTTCTGGCCTTTGACAATCTTCTCTTCATGGCTTCCCAAAACTCTGGGACTACAGGCATGGACTAGCTCCACCAAACCTAGACTAGCTCTGTTATTCTTGATGTGAGGCCAGAAGCAGAACCAAGGAGACTCAAGACCCTTGGTTACTTGGATCTGAGTAGCTATTAATAACATCCCGGAACAAGCTCAGTCTTCTGAGTCAGGAAAACCTGGGCTGGAGTCCCAGCTACACTGGTCACCAGCAGCAGAAGCCTGGGCAAGATGCTTCACATCTGTGGAACCCCTGTCTTCTTTGTTTATCAACATTAAATCATGGCTATTTCATAGGATGCTAGAAAAATTGAGATGTTAATAAAGGTCCTAAAACTGCACATTTCACTCAGTAGGTTTTCCAAAAACAGTACCTGTCTTAAGTCTGCATTAGTATTGGAGGATATTAAACACAGCAGCATTTCCAAGGTCTAAGTAAGTAAGAAGCCAGTTAGGATAAGGGAAGCAAACTGAATTAAGAGCTGAGTAGAATGACAGAATGTGAGGTCAGGTTGGAATCTTAGAAACCATTTAAACCAACTTCTTTGCTTAACGGTGAAAGAACGGTCATGTGTGGCAGTAGAAGGAAAACCAGGAAAAGATGTCCTTTTAATTTTACTTTTTTCAAAACGTCTTCAAGATAACTTTAATTTTTATGAAATAATTTAAAGGAAAAGTAGCGGGTTTGTTGAAGAAAACCAGAAATATATTTTTTAAGGTCATTGACCGCGAAACTATTACTTTGTTTCAAAGATCATGGAAAACGTATTTATCTCTTTTTGGTCTTACCTAAACCAGTGTGGACCCTTAACTGCTGGACAGTCTCAGCAAACACACACACTGTTGAGACTTACTGAGTGACTCAGTGTTGGCTAGAATTGTCTGTGGGCTGGAAGGAAAGAGGGAAGGAAGGATGGATGGAGGAGTGACATACGGCAACAGGGATCAGGCCATTTCCCACACCTCTCCCAAACTCCAAAGGCAATGATTGCATTGGAGGGTCAGCTAAACACAAAGGAAAGTGAAGAAAGAAGTTTGAATATTTTTCTGTTTCCAAAAAAGCAGACTTTCCGCTTTTGAGCGTTCTACAGAATAATTTTAATGCTCTATGTTTCCTACTTTGTGGAAATTTTCTCTATGGCACGACTACTCTAAATCATGCAAATTTCCTCATATCAGACTTATTTTTCTCTATAACTGGTTCCTCAGCAAGCCTGAGCTTTATCTATATATCGGATATGCACCCCATCTCCACAAACCGCCATTCAATTGCAACTCTAAATCCTAAAGTGCTCAGAGTCAATATAATGCACTGACAATTCATAGATCTGATGGAGCAATTTCATTGCATAAACCTAAAAAGTAAACCATCTCATACGTTTGAGAGGATGGGGAAGAGACTGGTCTATATTTCCACTAAGGTAGCCAAAAAAAAATTAACATGAAGGGACAAGGGGAGAGGAACTGGCAAGAGTTCGGGCAGTACTTTGAAGGAAGATGTACTCATTATCATACAGATTATACATGGCAGCGGATTGACTGAGGATTCACTGGGACATCTTCAGAAAGGAAGTAATGTGTTTCAACACCACTGTAGTGTTCAAATAGACTTCTTTTCTTCTCACTAGTAGGAAAAGTTAGGAGGCACTCCTAGGAATAATAAAGGACGCTAGCTGGGGACAGTCATGATGCATGAAGAAGGGACACATATTTTTGAGGCAGCAGAAATAAACATCATTGTCCTTCCCAGAGGACAGTAAGAATTATTCAAGGTAGGCCGGGCGCGGTGGCTCAAGCCTGTAATCCCAGCACTTTGGGAGGCCGAGGCGGGTGGATCACGAGGTCGAGAGATCAAGACCAACCTGGTCAACATGGTGAAACCCCGTCTCTACTAAAAATACAAAAAATTAGCTGGGCATGGTGGTGCGTGCCTGTAGTCCCAGCTACTCAGGAGGCTGAGGCAGGAGAATTGCCTGAACCCAGGAGGCGGAGGTTGCGGTGAGCCGAGATCGCGCCATTGCACTCCAGCCTGGGTAACAAGAGCGAAACTCCGTCTCAGAAAAAAAAAAAAAAGAATTATTCAAGGTAACCACCAAGTCTGGAAACCAGGCAGGTCTTTTAACAAATGGTTTATTGATATTAGGTTGTAATGAATGACAAAATATTAGTATTTAATTCTAGACTTTATGGCCACTCCATAAGATGAATCTTGGGAACAGAAAAAAATAAATAAATAAAGATTTGTTTTCCCGTAATCGTAAAGCTGTTATACTCAGTCCAGGCACAGCTAGTACAACCATCTGCTCAATCCCACAGGCTCCGTTCTCTTTGCCACCTATATATAATATGTTTGAGTCACTCACAGGAGTGAAACACTGTCAGCATCAACAGTTAGCAGCATTTTCAAATTACATTTTATTGTCCTGACTAGAAACCTTAACTATTCAATTAGTCCAATAATTCCAAATGGTCTTATTACTTGTATATATAAGATACGATCTTACGACATTTATGTAGCTAAATACTTATACTTCCCATTTTTTTTAGGATTCCCAAAAGAATTATAGGGGTTTAATTTTGTTCATGATAAAAGAAAAGAACAGTGTCAATCCACGAGAGTCAGACCAGCAGTTTAATAAGTTCCTCTTCAGAGACAAGATCTTCTTCATAGCTCAGTTCTGGTGCGTAAAGAGATTCAATACAACCCCCTCACTCTCAGTTCTTAAAAGAATTTGAGAGGGATAAGAACAATAACAACCTGCTTTGTTTAATAGTCTAAGAGTGAAAACAGATGTCAAAAAATATATACAATCTAAAAAAAAAATAGAAGCCAGATGCTTTCATCCCAGGATGTCTGAAAAGGAGAGACTCTATAGAGCACAGATGCAGAAAAGGAGTTACTCCCACCCGAAAAAAAATGAACTGTGGACACAGTCACACAAGACCAGAGAAACAACCACCGAGAGTAAGTAGCTTCAATTTCACTGTCACCAGGAGGGCACACAGCAGACAACCTGGGACAAAATCTGGGCTAGAGCCCTTAGTGGACTCAGGCTTCCAGGTGCTGTGGTTCAATAGTCCTTGTGGAGATGGGAGAACCAGAAACCATCACCGTCATGTGTAAAAAAGGGATGCCACAGCAACAACACAGCTGTCAAAAGTCAGCTGGAGCTGAAGTTACACCCCATTTGAAATCCGCACTGTACTTGCTCTCCTGTGAAGGGCTTGAGAGTGCAGAGACACGTTAAATGTGTAGGTGACCTTCCTTTTGAAAGGCAAAGCAGGGCCTCTTTGTGAACTCTTTCTACTCATTTGTTTTCCTATTAGTTCACCATTTCAACTAGAAAAGATGCTGCAAGCTACCTCAGCTAGCTTCTAATTTGGACACAGCACCAATATTACACACACAATTGAATGAATGACCGCATCTTCCTGGTTCCTCCATTGGGCAGGGTTAATACGCTTCTTTGGATTGAATAGGTGTAATCTTGTTTGAGAAAAGTGTGTAAACATAGGGCCAGATTTTGTTCGTCTCCGTCCCAGAAAATTGGTGGAGAAGTCCTCGGCTCCTGTATAATCCAGTGGCTGGCTTTGCCACATCCTTGTACTGTCTTAGCCTGGCAGCAACTGCTTCAGGTTTATCATCCTCCTGCTGGACTAATGGTTCACCAGTGACGTCATCAATCCCACCTACATGAGGTGGATTGAAGTCCAGGTTTTATGCCCTTCTGCTAGGAGGGTGAATGCAATGGCAGCTGAGATGATTTTTAAGTGTTTCAAATGGAATGTTCAAACTGATCACTAAATCCACTTCACAGATTCTGTCCAGGGCTTTGGCTTGTCCTAATGTCCTAGGAAAACCATCAAGGAGTCAGTGCTGGCCACGCCTATTCTCCAACTCGGACATCATTAGGCATGTGATCACATGGTCTGGAACCAAAAGACTTTTCTCTATACACCACTTTGCCATCTCACCAACTTCGGTGTAGGGCTTGAGGTTCTACGGCAAGAAGTGGCCGTTGGAGAGATGCTGGAGGGCAAAGTTCTGGGCGATCCTCTGGCACACGGTGCCCTTGCCAGAGCCGGGGGGCCGAGGATAACGGCGCTCAGGAGTTGGGAAGCCACTGCCTTCGCGAGGAGGGGGCGGTCAAATGCGCAGCCCGGGAGGGAACCCGGGAATTTTGTTTTTCCTCTCCCCTACCTCTGGCACCCTCTGCTTGCACTTTTGCTGCTGTTGTTGTTCTTTTGTTTTGAGACGGAGTTTTACTTTTGTTGCCCAGGCTGGAGTGCAACAACATGATCTCGGCTCACTGCAACCTCCACCTCCCGGGTTCGAGTGATTCTCCTGCCTCAGCCTCCCGAGTAGCTGGGACTACAGGCACCCACCACCAGGCCTGGCTATTTTTTGTATTTTTAGTAGACACGGGGTTTCACCATGTTGGCCAGGCTGATCTCTAACTCCTGACCTCAAGTGATCTGCCAGCCTCGGCCTTCCAAACTACTGGGATTGCAGGCATGAGCCACCGCGCCCGGCCCTAAAACGGCATTTTAAACAAGATCCCAGGTGATTCCTATGCACATTAACTCTGGAGAAGCACTCATCTAGAAATGTCCCAAATCTCCCTAATGAGAATAATCACCCAGATGCTTGTTAAGTATGTAGATTATCCAGCATATTTCTTAGACTTTCTGATTCATTAAATCTGGTACAGTAATTTGAAAAATTACTCTGGGTTAGTCTCATACAACAGGTCCTTGAAGAACCTCACTTCATTATAATGTTGATGAGAAAAAAAAATGGACACCCAGCTGGGGCCACTGCCTGTGTGGAGTTTGCATGTTCTTCCCATATATGCCAGCGTTTTCTCTGGGTGCTCCAGTTTCCTCCCATATCAAAATTGTCCACATGAGGGGAAGGGGCATGCCTCTACATGGTCGCAGTCTGAGAGAGTTTGGGTGTGTGTTTGAATGTGCCCTGTGATGGGATGACATTCTGTCAAGGGCTGGTTCCTGCCTTGCACCCTGAACTGACAAGACAGGCAGTAACCCTGAACTGATCAGAAATGATCAGAACTTGACTCTTCTTTATATCCATTAACCTATGGTAAAATTGGTTTTGCTGTATGTCACTTTGCTTAAAGTCACAGTTTCCAAGAACCTACTGGTGACATTGAGGACTTTGTATCTGGGGAACACTACTCTCAAAAATAATCAGTCTATAGCTGACAGAGCCTTCCGTGGCAGCCTCTTCCTACTTTGCATACAAATTTGTAATTTTCTTACAGTGCTAGTCATTCCCTATCTATATTATAGTCATGATACAGTAGACTCCAGTATTCTCCATGTAGGATAAAAAACTCAGTGAAAGCAAGAATTATTTTTCAGTCATTTGTGTGCCCAAAAGAATGTAAAACAGTGTCTTACCCTTAGTAGGGTAAGATGATTCAATTGATGACATTGATTAAAAGGATGTGTTGCTGTTTAGTAGTCCAGACAGCTGGGAAACATGAAGCCTGGAAAAATTATGACTTATTTAAAGAAGGAAGAACAAGAAATAAATTATGTACCAACTCTGTGCCAGAAACCCTGTTAAGCCTCTTACATCCATTCTCTTCAATGAAGAATAGATTGGCTATGTTAATCAACTTGCTTGCTCAAGATGACATAGCAAAGTAGTTAGCAAAGCTAGGATTCAAAACCTGGTCTATCTGGCCCTATCATACCAGGGTATCAGAAATAGGAGGCAGAAATAACTGAGCAGAGAGTGAATTATGAAAGCAAGCAAAGCAGATATCAAGCATGATTTTTTTAAAAAGAAACAAACAAACAAAAAAAGCATGCCATGTGTCAGGTAACCAAGAGCTGGAGGCAGAAGTGTTTAGAAGCTACAGGCTGACAATGGCCAGAAAGTGACAATCTAGGACCATTTCATGGAAGAGAATCTAATATTTAAAAAAACGAGTGTGGGTTTAAGAACCTCAAAAGACCTACCTCTTGGCTAACAGAAATGTACATATCCTCCTTTATTTGCCTCAACAACCTTCACCCTCCAAACTGAGGTTTGCTGTTATAGATGTGGCAAATACAAGAGCATTCAGTGAGCCAGGCTTTCTTGAGTAGGTAAAATTTTTAATCCAACAGACTATCAAGATGAAACAGGACCACAGGCTGCTCTTCCTGGTGGGGAGCCCCATCATCTGCTGGACTCTGCTTCACTAATTGGCCCTCTACTGCCTTGTGTTTCCAAATGGTGGGTAAGGTAAAGACAGGCCAGTGCTACCTTGGCCTGAGAGAATGCCCAGCCATCTCTCAGTGGTTTTCTTTTTCTCTTTACTGCTTTCTCTTCCATTTGGCTAGTGAGGTTATGCTATAGAGTCCATATCTGTGTTCCTCCAAAATTCAGATGTTGAAACCCTAATCTCCATTGTGATGGTGTTAGGAGGCAAGACCTTTCTTTGGGAGGTGATTAGGTGATGAGGGTAAAGCCTTCATGAATGGGGTTAGTGCCCTTATGGAAGAGACCCCA